ATTACACTAATCGCCTTCCATGACCAACTTCTGCTCTGAAAGAGCACTGCCCTTGACGAGCACAGCCCTTCAGATACAGCCCGAACCATTGCTAGTAACAGCTATAGCACCGGTCATGTAGAAAACTCATCAAAGAGGCTTCCTCTCTCTACATCCATGGTTTTCATTCTGCCTGCTACAGTGCTCCTATTACGTTTTGAACAGTGAAGTGAGGAGCCATTGTTGTCTCCGTCGTGCTTCTAATCATTGTTACATTAAGCATTGATGTCGAATATTCTATTCCTGACTACCTAAAATTTGACTGGTCTGTCCTGAGGAGATGTCGACAAGGCCAAAACGAGACTTCTGCACGGTTTTGGAGGCTAATTGAAAAACCTTAGAATCCATAGACAGAAACAAGTCAACAAGTGCCACGACTGCAATGGGTCATGAAACAAATTGTCTTTTTGGTTTTTTGTATAAAACAGCATACACGATGTATTTTCAGGGCACTAGTAGTTGCTCCTTGTTATCGGGCAGGCAACGTGTTGTTGATTGCCGAGCGCGGACATTCTAAAGCTTCAAGAGCCTTGTGCTTACCTACCTCACTGGTATCTGGAAGACGCACCTACAAAGTGATAATTCAGTTATTATCAAACGCCATGTCGAATAAATTGAAATGGGTTTCATTATCATCAGATTGCAGTAAATAGTTTACATCATGTCCAAATTCACTGGAATTATGTGATTTTATGAGCTGTTTGCATGCATTCCAGCATCACATGTATGGTAGACGAAGATTTGCAATGCGAACGGAGTGACTGGGAGAGGAAGGTGTCAAAAATATCGACATTGGGACTTCAATGACGTGAATCGGTTCTATTGCCTGAATTTAACATCGCCTCAAAAAACTTACCATCAGGCCATGCGAATGCGATCACAGCAGATGGCAGCGGATCAAAGATACGCCTACATTTGGCTATGCTTGTTGTGTTTGCATGTTTACTAAGGCATTCACTCGTTGTACATCTAGTGTCCAAATATCAATGCTTATCCATTCTTCTACCTATTAGTCTGCCTATAGGTGTTTTTCGGTATGCTTCATTGGGATGGATAGAAACGGCGAAGGATAGCGCTGCATTATTTTTCCTCTGCCTCTTGAACTAATTGGCCCTACGTTTTGGTTGGTGCTTTTCTTCGGTGCATGTTTAAGCCACTTTGACATTGAAATGATTACTCTTAAGGCTAGCCGGCTGTGTAGGCAGCCGCCTCGGTGACAAGGACTGAGATAGTTCGAACTGAAGAATCTTAGCGCTCTATTTTCCATCACTTTGAAACTAGAACTGGTTAGCGATCGGCCTGGGCTGGTAGTTTACTTCAGTGTATGTGTAGGGTAGTTCCGTGTAAAGGCGGACACAGTGACAGCTATGTGATCGTAGGCTTTCTTTAGTAAAACACAAGCAGCGGCGTGTCGCGTTGTTTGCTAACTGTTCATTTTTGTCTATATTCAACTGCTTTCACTCGCATTTTCACAGTTGGCGTCCGTATTGTCACCTTTTCCACACCCAAAAATTTGGCACCTACTCAAGCATTCCCTCCTCCTCTGCCCATTGCCAGTAAGCTCCTCTGCCAATTTCGTACTGCCCTCTCTTTCCTCTTCGCTCCACTTTTAATCACGCTCCACCACAGCATGGGCACCTGCTGGCTGGCACCCATTATCTATCATCAATCCCTCAGTGACAATTCCTTACTGACACTATTTCCTTGATACATTCTACTAACTTTTTCTTCTTTTCTACCCCAACGGGAGTATAAGGAACTTCTGGGAGCTTCGTTAAGAAATGACACAATGTTCATGCACAGAAATTCGATGTCCACTGATTCGTCCCAAAGCTAACCAACGGTGGTGACATATGGACAAAGTTGTGTAATCATTAAAATGAGTTGTCTGTCCAAAATCTGGAAGGTGATTTCGATGGCTAGATGATTATTCTAGGCTCCCTGCAAGTGACCTGCTACCAACTGCCGTTAAGGGATGTTTGTAAGTGGGGCAAATACACCTCGCCACTGACAAAGATCATGCATTCTTGCACTTCACCATATAGACAGGACACTTCAGAGGACACTCCATCACGATGCGTTTACTTCTGTTGCTATCTTTGCAGTCCTCGATGTCGGTCGCTCTCCAATCTCCTGGAAACTTTACCGTTTCTTTCTTCATTGCACCAATGGTTTTTGTGAAAGTGACTTATCCCATTCTTATGTCTACAATTCCAATTTGATGAAGTCGTCCTCATTCAATAAGTGCAGAGAAAGTTGGATTTGTTTAACTTCACTGCAAGGAATTATGCGTACGTGGGTGATGCATGTTCCCTGCCCCCTTTTTTACCTCTCGTTAACTATTTTAAAGGCGTCAATCGAATGGTGTCATTGTCCAGGAAGAGCAACTTCTCTGACCAGCTTGAGCACTATGAAGCCATGTCAATCACTCGCGCAAACAGAGAAGAAGCCTTGTTAGTCTATAAAACGCAGAGTACTTGGGGTCATTTTGACGAAACAGTCGAACTACGAATGAAACCGAGGCATGTATTGGACGATTTCACCATCGACGTTTCGCCTAAGCAAAGTGTTGGGGTGATCATCTTCTTTACTCATTTGACGTTAGATTGGAGAAATAGCAGGAATTGGGAGACGGACATGGAGAGGCAAGGAGCTAAACTAGGCTTGACTCCTTAATTTAACAGATTTGAATTAAAAATAAGAAAATGTCGAATGAAAAAGGTGGATTAAGCGGAAAGTAGTCTATGTGAACTCCATCCTTAGCAAGGAAGCAGAATTGCATTTAACAATAATGCAATGAAACATACCGCATCTTTTACCACTTGAATAATGTCCTCCCTCAGTTGCACAAATGAGGTAAAAACAGGGGACTAGAATAATTTGAATTTATACAGCCTTGAGCACCCGAATATGGGTGATGATGGTTGGAATGGTGCATTGCGAGGAGTGATTTGGCACTTTTAAATTGTGACAGAAGATACCACAATCGTGCGGTTTAATGAACGCGAGTGATTAGGCCACGGATGGTGGACAAAACTCAATTCTGCCTTTGCCACGACGATAGAAGTGAATGCGAGTGTGGTATAGTAGATTTGACCAGAGTCAGTTGTCTACTTACGCATCAGACCGTGTATTTCTCAAAGCAATACTTCCTCATTTCGTCAGATTGCTGTTTATCCAATTGTCTCATCAGACGATGTGTTTAAGAAACGTCCAGACATGCGCATCCATTTGTTACTATCAAATCCGCAAGCTAGACTTATATAAACCTAATTTTAAGCCAAAGCCTTAAATCGCCAGAAGCCATAGCATAATTTGGCTGAAATGAACAGCTCAGAGAAGGAAAAGTAGCATTTACGATTGGAGAAGGCAAACATCGTGACAGGCAGTAGGAGTAGGACGAGCACTAATGACGTCAAAGAGAGTTTTGACAAGTGCATGGAGTTGTGAAGACCTGAAATGGCAAAGGTAGAGGTAGTAAACATTCCCTGTGTTTAGTTTACGATTAAACAACTCGCCTACCTACCTACCTGCCTGCCAACCCGTTTACCTACTCTTCCACCTACCGGTCCATTTATATACCATTCTTTAGTTTGCATTTTCTTCTTTCTCGCCTTCTGTCTATCCTTATATCATCTATCAGCATAGGTCGCTCCTGTGATAGACATGAAGTACTGGTACGAGAAAAGGCAAATCATCAGTGACTGCAGAAGCAGTCCAAAATTGGAGCCAGGAAGGAAAGGGAGAAAAGCAAATGTAGAAATATAAGCAGACTCGATTTAAAGGGAACAAACTAGACT